CCTCACACTTTCTTCTTTCCTTCCTTCCTTCCTTGGAGGCAGAAGTTCCAATCCTGCCCCTGCCATACTGTGTAACTATGGGCAAGGCTTCTTACTCTTAGAGTCTCAGTTTCCCCATATGTCAGATAAGTCTGTCAAATACAGATCATAACACCTGTAGTCCTCTCCCTTGAAGGGCTGCTGCTGTAAGGCTCCCTGGAGATATTCTATGTAAAGCCCCATGGAAATGTCCCAACTAATATCTCCTTCACGGTATTGTTAGGGAGAAATCTCATGCTTTTATAAACAAAAGCACTTGACAAACCAGATCCCCAATAGTTACTACAACTCCTGCTCCCATACATGCTGCCTGGGCCCTCACTGGGACACAGCAATCCTTTCACTCTTCCCTGATCCACTCTTCCATCCAACTCCCACTCCCCACAGAAGCTGTTCTGAACCTTCTCTTCTCAAGCTTTCTACCTTACCCCTGACCCCTTCTTTCCCTCTCAGCAGAAGAGACCACCTCCTACTTCACTGGGAAATACTGAGGCTATCTCACCCTCTCCTCCTCAGTCACACCTTTCAAACTATGCAAGTACTATTCCCAGCCTCCTCTCCTCCTTTTCCCAAAGGTTCTGAGGATCCTATGGCCCTTTTCCTCCCCAAAAGCAACCTCTCCACCTGGACCTTTGCTCTTTGTCCCCTTCAGTCTCCTATGGCAGCTGGTCCCATCAACACCCCCCCCCACCTCTCTCTCTCTCTCCCCTCCCTCCCTCTCTCTCTCTCTCCCTTTCTCTCCATCCCTCCTTCTTTCCCTTCCTCCCTCTCCAATTTTCAGTTTCACTTTATTGCTAGCTGTCATCACACACATCCAGGTCTCACAACAGATAGAAATGAAAGAAAGAAAATTGTTACAATCAATTTCGGTTTTGCCTAATGATATGCTGACCAAAATGAGAACCCAATGAAGTAGATGCACATTTACAAAAACATAAGGTGCCCAGATAAACAGAACAAGAAAATGAGAGCTTAAATAATCTGATCTCAGAAAAGAAACCCACTGACCAAGCCATGAAAGAGAAGGAAGTCTCCACCTCAACAGGGTCATGAGAGAATTGTACAGAACACACAAAGGACATTGTTTGCAAAAATAGGAAAAGAAGGGCCTTTTCTGAGTCAAATATGGTCCTGATATAGCAAAGAAGCCACAGCAACCCAAGGAAAAGAATCTGCACGGGGGTCAGGCTGGATTATAATCCACAAAGGCAGGCTAGGTTTAATGTTACGGAAATGACAAATATAATGGATCATATTAATGACAAAAAAAAACCCAAGAGCCACAATTGTAATCAACAGATCTAGAAAAAGACTCTGGTAAAATACAACAGCCATTTCTGTAAAAACACTACAAAGGCCAAACGTGGTGGTACACACCTGTGATCACTGCTACCGGGCTGGCAGATCTCCTAAGCTGGGCAGTTCTTAGCTATTTCGATTGAGGCAGTATTATGGTGAAACCCCAGAAGCAGAGGGTCACCACATTGCCTAAGGAGGGGCAAACCAGTCTGGGCCAATTAGTGGTGGGACCATGGCCTGTGAGTAGCCCCTGTACTTATAGCCTGTGCAAGATAGGGAGACCCAGTCAATGATAGATAGATAGATGGATAGATAGACAGAGAGATAGATAGAGGAATGGATAGATAGATAGATGAATAGATAGATAGATGATAGATGATAGATATAGACAGATAGATGAATGAATGTATGGACGGATAGATAGATGGATAGATAGACAGATAGATAGATAGAATGAGATATCACTAAAAAGCCTAAGAATAAATGGAGCATTCCTTAATATGGCAAACAGTATCTGTTCCAAACTCCAGACCTAGCATTATCCTTGCTAAAGAAATGCTAGAGACCTTTTTCAATATGAGCAAGGATAACAGAGAGCATGCTCTTACTTGATATAGCCCTGGCAATGCACACTAGCAGAATAAGACAAGATAAACAATTGAGAAAATAAGCCTGAGCAAAGAGGAACCATGTCATCATGTGTAGATGATAAGATGTTTTTACTTAGAGAACCCTAGAGATTCATAATTAATCACTTCATGAAGTAGCAGGGGCAAGGGGAGAAGAACGAAAGAAGACAATAAAAGCCAACATTTCCTTCTCCTCCAAAGCCTGTCACCTTTGTTTAAAATCCCAGACCAGTTCAACCTCTTTGCTCATACATTTCTGCCCATATAGTGAGAGACAGCCTCAGCCCTTCACTCATCCCAACTCAAAGGCAGTCAACCTCCTCCATCATGTTCCTATTCTTCACCTACCATTCAGCATGGATTGAGTGCTCCTTGAAGAGAGCCTTTATGCCCACATACAAGAGGGTTTCTTTTTCAGTTGGACTCACTCACCTGAACAGGGATGATGGGGGAGGGGGCAGGGAAAGAAGGGGCGGTAGGATGAGATGACTGATATTAAAGTTAGAGTCAAATAAAGTGACCAATGAGCTCATCTTAGGTACTGGCTAACAGTGGCTTATTTTCCTGAGCTCAAATCCAGCCTCAGACACTTGCTAGCTGTGTGACCCTGAGCAAGTCACTTCGCCCTGTTTGCCTCAGTTTCCTCATCTGTCAAATGAGCTGGAGAAGGACATGGCAAACCCCTCCAGCATCTTTGCCAAGGAAACTCCCAGTGGGATCACGAGAGTTGGACACGACTTAAAAATGACTGAAGAACAAAACATACTCCCCCTCTTCTTTTCCAGTGCTCTGTCTTCTGGTTTTATCCCTGTCCTCTTTCACACAGCCATCTTTTCAGAAACACAGTCTCCCAATTTGCCAGCCCCCTGGCCTCTCACTCATATGGTCCAGTTCTTTCCTTTCTGGAAGGTGGTGATTCCACGTGGCCCTCTCTGGTCCTCCTTTCCTCAGTCTCTGACATGTCTCAGAGAGTGTCTGAGGAATCCCATTTGTTAGTTTCTGCAGGGTGGGAAGATGTCACTTATCTGGGCCTCATGATTGCTCTCTATCCTGAGCAACTCCCTGCTGACTTACTAGCTCCTTCCTCATTTACCCAGCTAAGTGTTTGATGAGTGACTGAATGAAATCATTCCCTACTCTAAAGGGAACCCCAGAGAGAGGCTGGATTGGAACTAGGGTCTTCTTGACTCCGGGTCCTGGCCTCTATCTGATGCAGCCTATTCTGCCTCTATTCAAGTCTGGTACTAGCTGGTACTAGCAAGGCAGAGGGCCGAGGTGAGCAAGGCAGCAAGACAACTTTTTTTGAAGTTAGGATGGTTGCTTCGGCCATTCAGCACCAAGAAGACAGCAAATAAGGGGGTGAAAAGGCATACTTCAGGTTTCTATGGAGAAGCCTTCCCTGGGTCCTCATCTTATGCCTCAAGAGCCCTGGGCCTTCTTTGAGCCAACCAGTTGGCCCAGGGGCATTACTCCCCACCTTGAAGATGGCTCTCTACCCCAGGAGAGGCACCATGATGCCATGGAAAGAGCCTGGATTAGAAAGAAGCCAGAGGACCTCAGTTTGAATTCCACTGTGTGACCCTGGTCATTGATACTTACTGCCTGAGTAACCTTGGCCAAGTCACTTTGCCCCCTCCCCAGGCCTCAGTTCCTTTATCAGTAAAATGACACATTGACCTAGATGACCTCTAAGGTCCTAGCCAACTTTCAATCGAGGGCCCCCAGGAAGTGGCTGGCAAGGTTCTGAAGACTTTCTAAACTGGTGAAGCTCTGGGTCTTGGGCCATAATGGGAACTGGGAGTTCAAAAATGCGGTAATCACTAATGAACTTTCCCTCTAGCCTTTCACCTTGGGGGCCAAGCAGGGCCAGTGATCTGAGTGACCAGCCCTGGTATCAGCAACCTGTGCAATAAGCTGGTTTGGATCTCAAGCCTAGAAAGAGAGAGGCAGGACAAGCCCAGGGAAAGCTTGGTGGGGGAAACAGCCCTCAGATACACAAGAGTAGGCAGCAGCAGGCTGAGAGTCGGACTACCTTCCTGGTAGAGCTGCCCCCTCAACATGGAGAGCCAGTGACCAGGCCTCCCAATGCACTGGAGTTCAACTTTTGACAGAGGAGGAAACTGAGGCTCTTGGAGACAAAGTGAATTGCTCAAAGTCACACAGCCAGTAAGTGTCTGGAGTGAGATTTGAACCCAAGTCTCTTGACGCCAAGTGTAGCATTCTTGGCATCATGGCCATGCTCTCTCTCAAGAACAGATGAAGAAACTGAAGCCAGGAAGGTTGCCCCATACCATGTCTACCATGGTGGTTCTCTTTCAACTAAGTCCCACGCCCCCATTCCTTCACAAGGGCAACTGGCTTATGAGACCCAGTCACTGCGGGGAGCACTGGCTCGCACCGGCCACGTCCAGCCTAAAGGACAGATCAGGACCACGGCACCCGTGAGAAAAGGCCCGTCCCAGCAAAGCTGGCTGGGGAGCCATTTGGGGGCACCTGCCAGTTTACAAAGCACTTTACATATATTATCTCATCAGATCCTGGGAGACAGGAGTGAGAAAAGAGAGGGGAGAGAGGGAAGGAGAGGGAAGAGGGGGAGGGAAGGGGAGGGGGAGAGAAGAGAGGAGAGGGAGGACAGAGAGGAAGGAGAGGGGGGAGAGGGGGGGGGAAAGGGACAGGGAGAGAGAGAGAGAGAGAGGAGGGGGGGGGAGAGAGGAGGAGAGGGGGAGAGAGAGAGGAGGAGAGTGAGAGGGAAAGGGACAGGGGAAGAGAGAGAGAGAGGGCTGCAATACTCAGAGGCTGGTATGAGAGCATTGCAACTGCCCCCGAACACCAGGTGGGGGTGAGTTCCAGCAGCAAGAGAAAGCTGGTGGGGGCAAGGGAGGGGGAGAGGAGGAAGGAGCCCGGTGTGGAATGGCAGGCCACACCATCCTTGCTCCCAGGCTCAGACCGAATGGCATGGGACCAAATGGAGCAGGTCTTGGCCTGGCCTGAGGAAGAGTGAGGGGGGACTGTGGGAGGGGCTGCCAGCCATACCAGTGTGGATTCTCCGATGGGCCTTCAGGTGGGAGCTCTTGGTATAGACCTTGTTACATCCTGCGAAGTCACACTGGTGAACGCGCCTCTTCTTTAGGTCAGGAGACTCAGTGTGATGTAACGGGGCCCCCACAGACCTGGGGTGAGGAGAAAAAAACAAGCTGGAAAATGAGTGCCAGGCTTGGGAGACACACATATGTACACACACCTGCATGTGTGTGCAAGAACACATGTGTGCACACAATAGCTTTCCCAGGAAGGCTTTAAATGGTACCAGCTCAGAGGTTCATGTTCTTTCTGTGGTCAGGGGGCAGATAGATACTCACTCTCTCTGCAGCTCCTGAAAAGCTGCAGACACAGACACAGTCTCCCCTACGCTGTCCTCACTGTCACTCTGCACTTCTACTGGAGACATGGAGCTGGGGTCTAATTTCACTGAAGGGAAAAAGGAGAAAGAGGGTGAGAACGAGCGAGAAGCCTCTGCCCACATCCCCAGCTCAGCCCTTCTCGAAGGGCTGGAAAGGGGACGAGAGGTTTGAGCCCATCAGCCCCTGGATGTGTCTGGTAACAAGAAGCTGAGGGACATGCTAGGAGGGAGGCTCGGAGGTCATCTGGATGTCCTCAGACCTCTCTATTACAGACACTCCTGGAGAGAGCTTGAGGTTGGCACTGTGAGGCCTGATTCCTCAGCCTAGGGAGTACCTAGGAGTGCTTTACTGGGGCTGAGCCTAAATTGGCCCCTGTAACCTCTGCCCATTGGCCCTAGGCCTCCCGCTCAGGGTGAGAAGTCTGCTCTCTCCTCTAGACAGCTGGCGTGGTGAGAGAACTGAGACCCAAAGCCGGGTCTCGAGTCACCTTGGATGACTTCCAAGGCTAGGGCTTTTGGCCCCTCTCCCATTCTGCCTGGCCTGTGGCTTCCCCAGGATCCCCACGCACACAGCCCAAGCTTCCAGAGCTGAGCTAGTAGCAGAGAGCCCCGGCCAGAGTGGGCTCCCTCCCAGGCCACCCCAGGGGAACTTCCCAGAGAAGCTGGGGCTTGGGGAAGGGAAACAGCTGGTCACCGCCCCGTGCCAGGTGGGATGTAAGCATCCGGTGGATGCTGCAGCCTCTGTGCCAAGCTGGCACTGAGGAGCCTGGGAAAGGCAATGGGCTGCAATGAGTATCCAGGGCAGAGACCATCAATGCCACCTTATCTCTGCACGGGAAGTGAGGCATGTGAAAAGAGAAAAAAGATAAGACTTCAAAGGATGAATGGCAGGAAAAGGAGTGGCCCACCCCACATGCTGGGGAGAAAAGGCCTCCACTGGAGGATGGATTCCGGGGCTAGCTCCCAAATACCCTAATGCTGGGCATTCCAAAGTAGGGGCCCGAGCCCTCCCTCCCTAGGCAGGCACTCTCAGCCAAGAAGGGAACGGCAAAGAAGGCAGAGGGTAGCTCTGGGACACAGCCCGGAGGACCAGAACCTAGGGTCCGGGGAGGGGCTCCAGAATGGCTCCGCAGCGGTGACCTGCCTCCTCGGCATGAGGACTTGCAGTGAGGAGCTCTGTCTTCTTCTGCACTGTTGGGCAGTCACTGCCGAAATCGGCCCAGGTTCTTCTCACCACAATTTTACAAAGTCATCTCTTCGCTCCTGGCAAGTTGATCAGGTATTTGCTGCCTTGGGGACCTTTGGCATTCTGCGGTCTGGGGTCTCAGTTGTGGTCATGTTAACCCTCTGCAGTGCTGATGACATTTGGGGCCCCATCCCCCATCCCTCATTCTTCATTCTCAGTTATTCGTTTCAATATTTCAGGAGGAAGCTGTTGTGATTGCATCACCTGGCCCTTTTGTCTGGAGCCAACTCTTTCTTCTAGATTTTTAGGAAGCTGGATCTTTATTCTGACAAGTCGGTGAGTGGTCTGATTGTACATAGCTAGTCACTAACTCTGGGATAATAGTGCCTCCTTCATCCATAAGACCAAGCCTTCTCCCTCCATGCCCTTCGGAAGACGGCCAGCCCAGAGCAATCCCTTCCTTGATGTAAAGGACTGAGACGTCTGCACAGCTGCTCAGCCTCTGGCCCCTCGCAGGCATTCCAGACATTTCTGCTGCTCTCCAGAGACCTTCTTGACCACTTTGTGCTCAGTGACTGTGCCGTCGGTACAGAAGCCACCATGATTGCCATCATGCGCCCTGAAAGATAAGCTGACCCAACGGGTCCCATGCGACGGGGTTTTGTGCGGCCCATTCCATCATCTCCTCTCCTGGCCTGCATCTGCAGTTCTCTTCTTTCTTCTGGTTACATTTATTGAGAGACTGTCAAGACCAACCACCTAGCATGTATAAAGTGCCTACTGTGTGCCAGGCACTGTGCTAGGCGATGGGCATACAAGTACAAAGAAGAAAATAATGCCTGCTCCCAAGGAACCAATGTGGAATGGGAGAGACACAGATCCAGAAAGGCTGCAGAGAGAAGGCAGGGCCTGAGCTGTGTCGAAGGAAGGTGGGGGTTCCAAATGGGGGAAGTGAGGACAGAGCCATCAAGGAACAGAAGTCCATTTGGCTGATTCACAAAATAATGCCCAAGACTGATGTGATTCAGATCTTCCAGTCATATGTCACTGGACAAGGGTCCCTCTCCCCTGCAGAGTGCCAAGAGCCAAGTCTGCCCCATGGCCATTCCAGCAGAGGATGGAGGCAGGGCCATTGGACAGTTGGGGATTTGGTTTTGCTTGACAGCTCAAGAATCCCCCCAAGGGGCAACCAGGTGAGGTGCCACTTTAGACACAACTGGCTCACAGTAGGGTTCCATCAGCAGAGCCTTCAAGAGTCCAGGGCCAGCTGCCCCCATACGGCTACCCAGTGAGGCACCAAATAGAGCATGTGCCAAGAACTGTGCCACATACACAAGGGCAAAGGTGACATGGCTGGTGACCTCAAGGAGTGCACATTCTTTGGGGTGGAAAACAACCAGTACCTAGAAAACTCCACAGCTCTGCGAAAGAACCTTTGGGGGTGCGGAGAGCACTAGATACATCGACTGATAGTGTGAGATAGAAAGAGGTGATAGATCAAGACAGATCTAGACACAGACAAATGGATGGAGAGATGGATGGATGATAGAGACAGAGACTGATAGATGGACAGATAGGTAGACAGATATAGACAGACAGAAGGATGGATGGATGGATAGACAGATGTGATAGATAGATATGGACAGACAGCCTGATGGATAGAGACAGACCAATGGAAGAATGAATGGATAGAGAGATGATACAGATAGAGATAGGGAGATAGAGAGATATAAACAGACAGGTGGAGAGATGGATGGATAGACAGACAGATATGTGGATAGATGATAGATTGATGGGTAGATAGATACAGACAGACGGACGAACGGACGGACGGACGGACGGACGGACGGACGGACGGACGGACGGACGGACGGATGGATGGATGGA